TAGGAAAACAAAAGAAAAATTAAGGAAAAACGGGAATTTTTACGCAAAATCGATTTTTCACAAAATTGAATTTGGTTTTTGGTGTAAAATTAAAACAAATGACCGTATAGATACATGACATTTTCACTGATTGTTTATATTTGCATTTTCTATACACAATAGCATTTTCAAAATATTTTGATTTATTTTGAACTCTTTAGGGACATTTTCATTTTCCATTTTTTTTTTGGTTCTTTTTCTAAAAATATCAATTACATTTTATTTGTTGGTTAAAAAAGCTTGAAAATTTAAAAGAAGGCTCCTAGTATATTTTTTCAAAGGCAGATAAAAAATATTAAAAATCCTTAGTCACAGATTTTTTTAAAGCATTTAAAGTTCAAAAATAGACAGAATATGGAGAAATCACGAAAATTAGCAAATTTTTTTTTTCGTAAACATTTTTCTTTTTAAATCTAAGATTTTTAACATGAATACAAGTTTCCTTATAAGATTATCTACCTTCATCAAAAAAATAAAAATGCCTATAAGAAGGTCAAATTAAAATTTTATGACCGTTTGAAATTCAAATTTTTACAACATTGGACATTCACTCGATTTCTCATGTAGCGATTTCCTTATTTTATTTTAATTCAAAAACAAATAACTGTAGACACATGCAAATTACACTGAATGTTTATATTAGCATTTCCTATACACTATACACTTTTGAAAATATTTTGACTCTTTTTGAGCTGTTTACGGACATTTTCAGTTACTAAATTTTTTAGTTTTTTTTTCTATAAATATCAATAAAGTTTTATCTGTTGGGCCAAAAAGTGTAAAAATGTAATACAAGGCTCCTAATATATTGTTACAATAGCAATTGAAAAATATTAAAAATACATAGGCACAATTTTTTTTATAGGGATTTAAAGATCGAATTTTGACGAAATTTATAAAATGTTCAACTTTTATATCTAAGGATTGAAAATTTAAAACAAGATTCCACGTAAGTAGTTAATTCTGTTACCGAAAAATCTAAAAAATACATAAGCACAGTTTATTTTTATAGTCATTTTAAGTTCAAATTTGGATGATATTACATAAAAAAAAACCTAGAATAACCATTTAAGTTATTTTGTTGTGATTGTATAATATTATTCGTTTATACTTATTGAAACTTCTTGAAATTCGAGTGAATATTCAATGTTGTAAAAATTTGAATTTCAAACGCTTATAAAAATGTAATTTGACTTTCCGGTAGAGATTTTTTGTTGATAAAGGTAGACAAACTTATGAGTAATCTTGTATTACATTTTCAAATCTTAGAATTTAAAAGAAAAATTTTTACGAATTCTTAACTCAAAATAATTTGCTAATTTTCGTATTTTCTCCATATTCTGTCAAGATTTGAACTTTTAATGCTTATAAAAAAAAACTAAGGATTTTTAATATTTTTCAAATGTCAATGTAACAATATAGTAGGAGCCTTGTATTAAATTTTCAAGTATTTATACTCAACAAATAAATTTTTATTGATATTTTTAGAAAAAAAACTAAAAAAAAATGGAATATGAAAATGTCCCTAAACAGTTCAAAATAAATCAAAATATTTTGAAAATGTTATCGTGTATAGAAATGCAAATATAAACATCCATTAAAAATGTCATGTATCTACGGTCATTTGTTTTAATGTTACACCAAAAACCAAATTCAATTTTGTGAAAAAAAATTTTGCGTAAAAATTCCCGTTTTTCCTTAATTTTTCTTTTGTTTTTCTTGGCGCTTTTGAAAATTACTTTGAATTTTAAATTTTGACCTCCCCAGGGCACCAACGATATTCACTTTCCCATCGAACAAGATACTGAAGTTGAAAATCGAAGCATTATTTCGACTACTCATCGTGTACATAGACACAAAATAAAAAAAATAAAAAAACACATCATTGTAAAATCCATACATTCATCGTTCCACTCAGAATCTAAAATAATTTTAAAAAAAGGTGGGCAAGTGGGTGTCGCTCTGCTGTACAGTAGGTTACAAGTGGGTCACTGTATAATGGATGGTATTAAATTTGAATTCAATGATATAATATCATTGTATAAGAAAAACGATTCTGAGCGGTGATGGTATGTCAGTCTATGTATAAGGCATATTATATACATATCTATGATGGTATTAAACAAAAAATTGACCTATAATAGGTACCTATAATAAATTCCAAATTAATCATATCACAATATCCATTAGATACTTATAACGCGTTATACATCAACAAAAACCGTGATACTATCATAGATATATAATAGTACACTTTAGAAGTTTCAAGTACCCACGAATAGTATTATTCAATCACAACAAAATAACTAAAATCGTAATTCTTGGTTTAAATATGAAATTTTGTCTAAATTTGAAATTAAAATGTCTGTAAAAAATAAGTGTGTTTATATATTTTTTAGATTTTTTGGTTACAGTATGAATTATTTAAGAGAATCTTTGTTTTAAATTTTCAACTCTTAGTTATAAAAACTGAACATTTTATAATTTTTTAATTCCAACGATTGATAATTTTCGAGATTTTGATAAATTTTGTCAAAATTCCAACTTTAAATGCTTATAAAAAAAAATCGTGCCTATGTATTTTAATATTTTTCAACTGATATTGTAACAATATATCAGGAGCCTTGTATTAAATTTTTACACTTTTTGGCCCAACAGATAAAACTTTATTGATATTTATAGAAAAAAAAACTAAAAAAAATTGAAAGCTGTAAATGTCCATAAACAGCTCAAAAAGAGTCAAAATATTTTCAAAATTGTATGGTGTATAGGAAATGCTAATATAAACATTCAGTGAAATTTTCATGTATCTACAGTTATTCGTTTTTGAATTACAACAAAATAAGGAAATCGCTACATGAGAAATCGAGTGAAAATCCAATGTTGTAAAAATTTGAATTTCAAACGCTCATAAAAATTTAATTTGACTTTCTTATAGACATTTTTTTTTTTGATAAAGGTAGATAATCTTATAAGGAATCTTGTGTTAAATTTTCAAATCTTAGATTTAAAAAGAAAAATTTTTACGAATTCTTAACTCAAAATAATTTGCTAATTTTCGTGATTTTTCCATATTTTGTCAATTTTTGAACTTTAAATGCTTATAAAAAAAAATTGTGACTAAGGATTTTTAATATTTTTCATCTGCCTTTGAAACAACATATTAGGAGCCTTCTATTAAATTTTCAAGCTTTCGCAACCAATAAATAAAATTTTATTGATATTTTTAGAAAAAAAACTAAAAAAAAATGGAAAATGAAAATGTCCCTAAACAGTTCAAAATAAATCAAAATATTTTGAAAATGTTATCGTGTATAGAAAATGCAAATATAAACAACCAGTGAAAATTTCATGTATATACGTTCATTTGTTTTAGAGTTACACCAATAACCAAAATCGATTTTTTGGAAAACCAATTTTGCGTAAAAATTCTCGTTTTTCCTTAATTTTTATGTTGTTTTTCCCGGCGCTTGTGAAAACTACCGGGAAATTTATACTTTTGACCCCCCAAAGTACCAACTAGATTCACTTTCCTATCAGAAAAGCTACTGATGAAGAAAATCCAAGCACTTTTACTGTCCTAAAACGTGATGACAGACACAAAAATAAAAAAAAAATAAAAAAAAAAATAAAAAAAAAATAAAAAAAAAATAAAAAAAAAAACACACATCATTGTAAAATCAATACATTCATCGTTTCACTCAGAATCTAAAATATAAAATATAAAAATATAAAAACATACATCATTGTAAAACCAATACATTCATCGTTCCGCTCAGAATCTAAAATATAAAAATATAAAAATATAAAAACATACATCATTGTAAAACCAATACATTCATCGCTCCGCTCAGAATCTAAAAATTATATCAATGTAAAATCAATACATTCATCGCTCTGCTCAGAATCTAAAATGTATTTATTTAGAAGTTGAGCTAGACTCGCCTAGACTACGTACAAATTTTTACCATGTGACTAATTAGTAATTTTTAATAATACATTTTTATTCATAATCAACGTAAATTGAAAAACTAATATTTTTAGCCATACAATTATATTAATATACCAAGTCTGAAAAATGGAATAAAATATTGATTCTCCAAAAATATCTCTCAACTTAATTTACGTATGAATAAAAATTTACCTAAATGGTCGTAATTTACAGTGACCCCTTCGTTTGAACTTAAAAATAACACAACCATCACAAATAACTGCGATAAATACTGGTTACGAAATTTGCACATTTGACGGTCGTGATCCACCGTAATGACCACGATGTAGAGATAGAGAAGAAGTTCTCTACATCGTGGTAACGACAGTGATGGTGTAGTGAAGCATCGCGGGAACACGTTGAGAACCAATGGCCGGGGTCGCCGCACACCCTCTGTTGGCAGCATTGGTCTGTATGTTCACGGCAGTTTCGTGACAAATGGCAACTACGGTGTACGGTCTACGACTTTTTTTTTCTTCATTATTATTATTATAATTATAATATTATATTATTTTGTCGTGTTCGAACGCCACACAGAGGCGAATTCCCGTCTTGTCCGGTCCGAGTGTCCGACCGATTTCGTTTACTCGTTGCCTGAGCGCGCGATAATCGACGAGTCGACCCGGGAACGGTATATTTTAGTGCGTCTCCGCCAGTTGCGTCGAAAATTAAAAAATAATTTTTTTTTAAATTCGTAAACAAGTCAGGTACGAAACAAAATTCCAGAAATAACAGACCTCGAATTCCGATCGATTGACGAACGCTGACGTATCCGGGATCTACGGGACTATCAGCAGACCAATTTGTCCATATTATATTATAAATATATATGTACAACAATACATCGGGCATAACAACATCAATGTTTTAGTTGCGTGCGGCGGTACCGTTGTTATTGTTGTCGGGGCGTGTGTGTGTGTGTGTGTGTGTGTGTGTGTGCGCGCGCGTTCGGCGGTGCGATGGCGTTTAGATGAGGGGCCCACTGACGCCGTTTAGTTTGCCGGCAATGAACACGGAAGAGGGGTACAACGGCGGCAAGCCGGGCCAACAGCAACAGCAGGCGGGCGGCGGTTTTGGCCAGAAGGGTGACAACGGCGACGGCAGTGGCCTCAACAAGGTGAAGTACACAATGCCCGGCGTGTTGCACTTCATACAGCACGAGTGGTCCAACTTCGAGCTGGAGCGGTCCCACTGGGAGATCGACAGGGCCGAGTTGCAGGTGAGGACGCATTACTGTCGACGTTATTCGGGTAGGACGTGTTGCACAGCCCTATAGATATCTAGGTACCTGCTTTCGGATGGCTCCAGATTTCGCCATTAAATGGTATGCTATCGGTTGACTACTCACACAGAATGTTTCATATTCAGTCAAGGATCCAGAGCAAAGATCTTGGGGGGAAGGGGGCAACAATTTTTTTTCAACAATTAGGTACAATATACACTTAATTCTTAATTTAAAATTTTTTCCTAATAGGTACATATTAGGTTAATTTTTATGTATTAAATCAATTACCTAACGATTATACGTTAAAATCTAAACGCCTTTTCATATTGTTGCATTTTCCAAAACGATCAATTATTAGGTCAATGTTTATGTAAATTTCCCTATGAAAATTGGAAAAATAATATGTTTGGGAGGGGGAGGGTCTGGGCCGCTAGCCCCCCCTGGATTTGTCCCTGCTCATATTGCATACATAGGTTTTCTATAGTTCTAACAAAGTGGATGTCCTAAGTGCTTGGCTAATATAAGTTCCGATATCAAATGATAAATATATTTTATAGCCCTTCTGATATCTATAGTCTATCTAGTATCTGCCTCTTGGCATATTAGATTAGATTTGAACAAAATGCCGACCAATTAAGTTATTTTCTTTTTAAATCATCTTATAAGTTGATTACATTGTATTACCTATGACTTGTATCTGGTATATATTTCTTCAGTGGATAGGAACATTATAATTAGAAAATATATGTCAAGTACAGGGCCGGATTGGACATGTTCCGCCCACCGAGCCCTCTTACAAACTGGCGGCTCTTGGGTACATTCTTATTCCATGCATACTTACGTATTTTTATTTTATAGTCTCCATTTCTTCAACTTTTAACTCAATATAATAATTAATAACATATTTTCAAAAAAAACCGTAACTTGTCAGGCCAATCCGGCCCTGGTCAAGTACCAAAACAAAATGTCTTGTTTAAAAAAGTAGTAAAACATGATAAACATGATAAATTTCCAAGGTTTATTTTATTTATTAGTTTTCCTAGGTAGCAAAATACATAGGTTGGCTATTACCTATTATCAACCTTTCCTATTATCCATTATAGGTAAGACAATCAAATATATATTTTTAAATTACCTAGATTTGTTGTGGGTACCTACCTATCTCAATATCATTACTTTTAAATATAAATTGAATTAATGTAACTAACCTTATATTTAAAATATTTATCATTGAGAATTATTATTTTGATTTCAAAAAGTAACAATTATAAGTACCTATATTCAAAATTGTTTGGTTAATTTTTTACCTTCAGGCTTCAATGTCTTATGCAATTTAAAGTATAATACTCTTCGGTTTATACCTAGTTATAATGACTTTTACTGGTTCACTGGAATCGTTCACTTGGTCATATATGAGCAAAGCCATAGCCAGAGGGGAGGGGGGAGGTTAGGGTTTAAACCCCCCAGAAATTTTTTTTTTCTTAGTATGTGAGTACTCTCTTTCTCAGATAGGATTTGAATTCACAGGGCCGGTGTATTAGTAAAAGTTCTATACCTAATACAAACTACTGTGTTAGAAGAAACCTAGAATATGATTGTATTTTAAGTTAAAAAATTATATTGTATTATATTATATTGTTTAACGTTAATAATTTGTAAAATAACTAAACATCTTTAATACTAATGAGTAATGAGATAAACATTTAATGTATAGTACTTTCTATAGTAGATTATTACTCTATAAAACAGTACCTACTTTATATTACATTTTTAATTTTTTAATTTATTTGTTTTATTAGGCGAGAATTGCATTTCTTCAGGGTGAAAGAAAAGGTCAAGACAATCTGAAAAATGATTTAATTCGTCGAATTCAAATGTTAGAACACGCGCTACGAGCTGAAAGGTAATATTAATATTATTTGATAAAACTATTACAATCTGTATCAAATGAACCAAACCTCTTTTTGGAAATGTAAGTTTGCTGTAATGTTTTTATAAACCGTGTTACCAAATTGTTGGACCTCATATTTTGTTACTATTTCTATGCTTGTCTGATGGTAAATATTGGTATTTACTATTTAGTATTCGTTAACCTAGCTATGATTCTAACAATGTCTAGTATTACATTCCATGCAGTTAATGGAGATAGTGGATGAATACTTTGAGTACCAAGTGTTAAGAGCAGAAAAAATCAATTATCTATCAGCTATCTAGTGACCAAAATATATAATTGGTGGCTATGCAAATATATTTTTTGATGAAGCAACTTACTGATTTTGTGTTTACCGACTTAATTTGAATTTAAATCACTGTATTCATATAAAAAGTGATTCTGAGCGGATACTGTGCGTCAGCCCCTATTTCTAAGGATATTTTATTTTGCAATAAATTACTTATATCATTATTAGTAATATGGGAACAAATCTAGTTTAGGGGCCAAGCGATTTTTTCAATTTTTTTTATCGAAACTTATGTATCTCATCGAGTTAAGAACGATGGTGCAATCAGAATTTGTCGCTCTCATTTAGTTCCGAAGTTATGGCCTTCCAAAGTTTTCGATTTTACGTTTATACGCATGCGCGCAACACTACTATAATGACGCGCGGAGGACCATTTTTGTTTTTTAACCTTTCAGCAGGCGCGTATAGACTTACCTAACTTTTATCTACGTATCCCGATTAATACATGGGTTTTACTACATATATTATGTTATAAACACTTAATAATTTTTATCTAATCTTACGTATTTTTCAAATTATAATTGATGTATATTATCTGCAAGCGTGGCCACTCGCTCGCTGCTCTGAGCTCGGACAAATTTCCGGAAACTTACCGTTCAAAAGTTATGGCAATTCAAAGTCATTAGGCGTAAGTCATTAACACCACCTTAAGTAGGTTACAGGAAAAGTTATGTCGTAGTATATGGGCAGTCATTACGCGTGTATCGGCACTCGTCGCTACGCTCCTCGGCGCCGTCGCTCCGCTCCGCAAATCGAAAATATCCCCCGACTTGCTATGCAACACCACCTCAAGTATGTCACAGAGTACATAATACATAGGTAACTACATAAGTTTCAAAAAAAAAAAGGTATACCGAATACGTTTGTACCAAAAAATAACAAAAATGGTTCTCCGCGCGTCATTATAGTAGTGTTGCGCGCATGCGTATAAACGTAAAATCGAAAACTTTGGAAGGCCATAACTTCGGAACTAAATGAGAGCGACAAATTCTGTTTGCACCATCGTTCTTAACTCGATGAGATACATAAGTTTCGATAAAAAAAATTGAAAAAATCGCTTGGCCCCTAAACTAGATTTATGCCGTAATATGGCATAGATTGAATTCCAATAAGTTTTTGAGAAAATAGCAAAACATAATAGTATCAATTATTAATTATTATTATTTTATATCATATCATATTGTTATTAACTTATTAGTCAACACCGATGTCCCGTAGAATGGTGTAAATAGTTTTATCGTATTGTATATTTTTAAAATACATCCTTGATTATATGTGCTTAATTAAAAATGTACTTCATAATATTTTCATCATTATCTATTTTCTCAAATTAAATATTCGGTATCCAATTTGGAAAATAATATAATACTCTTATTGAATTGATACTACTTGTACCTATATCATATTAAAATATTTGTATATATTTATTTTATTTTCATATTTTGTTTATTCTATAATTAGAAACAATAAAATATATACATTTTTTATTTTTAGAGCAAAATATCATAAACTAAAATATGGCACAGAAATTCCACAATCTGAAATGCAATTACCTTCAGCTTCTTCGAGTGCACAAGATGAATATTCTTCTATACCAGAAGTTGGTGCAGACAGTGAAGCTCCATTATCATCAGTATCAAATGTCAGTTGGAAACAAGGCAGACAACTACTTAGAGAGTAAGTTTATTTACTATTAACTATAGTTTCAGTGTTTATATAATATCTTATATATTTTCAGATATCTACATGAAATTGGGTATACGGATACCATTATTGATGTTCGGTCATCACGTGTTCGGAACCTTTTAGGTCTGAATAATAATAACAATTTGAGTGGTATAGAACAAGGGCAAAGCGACAATAATCAGATAAATGGTAACAACTACAATAAACGTTTTAGTGACAATCAAGGCCAATGTTCCCCTACCAAGCGAGTAAGTATTCTTAAGACTTTAAAAAAATTATTAACTAAATTATTTGTGAAATTAATATTCTCAGACACAGCAGCAGCAACAACAACAAAACCAAAAGAAATTACTGGATGTCGAATCAGCTGTCATGGCAAATTTTGAGTTTTTATCTGAAATGCGTAGCACAAGCGATTCTGGTGATGTAGATATGGATGATGATGGTGTTGATGATGATGATGATGATGAAGATGATGATGATGATGAAATGGGGATGGCAGATGATGTCATTGATATGACATCTATTTGTAAAGTAAGATGCCTATAAAACTTTTTCTAAAATATTAATTTTTAATTTATTATTATTACTATTTTTTTTAGTTTGGCCCTGATGATGTAGATGCAGAGGCTGAAGAAGTTGTGAATGAGCTACAATTATTGACAGAAGACATAAGTAACAAAGAGAATGAACAAAACGACTGGAGTATGTTTCTGTAATATTGTATTATATTATACCAAATGATATGTATCAGTAGGGCCCAGATATTTTGGTTTAAAATGTCAAAGTTGCTTATATTATGCTCAAAAAAATTCTATATTTTACATTTTTTTTATTCTCTTAAGGATGAGAAAAAATATCAAGTTATGCTTCATTATATACATTTTCAATTTTCTTAGTACTTATTAAACAGTAATTAAACATGAAAATTAAAATATTTAATGAACATATTATAAGTTGTTTACTGACATCATGCGAACTGTGTTGGGCGAAGGCATGGCAACTAACTTGATAGTGTTATTAGGGTGCATGTTTCAAAGGAGTTGCCTTAAAAAAGTCCAGTATGCATATACAGGATGTAACAGATAGAACTGACTTTTGATATAATCAATATTTACAATTTTTTTTTATATATATAATTTAGTCAATTGCTCTACACATATATTATAAGAAAAATTATTTTAATTTTTGAACTGAAAATAAAAAAATTTAAATTTGATTAAAATTTTTTTGGGTTTATTCAAAATGGCCAATTTGTGAATCTAATTATAAAAACAATTTTGATAGTAAAAACATTTATCTAAGTCAAGTAGCTTTTTTTTATAATTTTTTAAAATAAAACTTTTTGATTTAATAAATTTGGAACAACTTTTTTCAAAACATTTAAAAAAAAAAATCAACTAAAATATTACCTATATAAATAAATTGAAATATATTCATACAAAAACAATATGCATAATATATTATAATGACTTCTCAATTTAATTACGTATTAACTATCATAAAAACTATTTACTAATTTTGTCTAGTGAATCATTTTGTTACAATTTATATAATATATATATTTATTTATATAATATAATTGGAACATTTGATTGTACATCACATTGTATTTTCCCTTTTACCTAATTATATGTACCAGACTTTTTACTGTTGACTTTTAACTACGGACTTTTTGGTAGTCTACCATTTCAAAATTATTAGATGCGACTTAAAATAATTTTCAAACAAAATCAGTTCAAAAAATTATAATTTGTAAATTATTGAAGTACCAAAAAATTATTTTAGCACCTCAACATAAAACACTTTAATTAATATTAATAAATTAAAATTAAAATAAATGAGTTTTATTTTTCTTAATATTTATAAAATATTCCAAAATATGTCAAAGAAACTATTTGCCAATAAAAAAAAAAAAAACATTTTCCTGTGAATTATTTAATGAATTGTCTAATAGCAATAATGCAATGGAGATATGTATAAACCTATAAATAATTGCAATATACTTATCAAATATGATTTTTTTTTTTTTAGAAGTTTCAAACAGAGATGTTTTTAACAAGAATTCAAATAATGCTAATTGGATAAAAAATGAACCAGTTGAAATGGTTGATGGAAATATGGATTTAGCTTTAGGTTTAGGAGAATTGGCACAACTCACTGTAAATAATGAATCAGAGACTAATGCAGATGTAAGATGAAATATTTATTCAGTTCTATTTTCAATTTTGTTTATTCTTAACTATTTTTTCTTCCAGATTATTGATATGAAAACTGCATCAAGAAAAACATGGAATGCTAAGTACACTCTACGTAGTCATTTTGATGGTGTTCGGGCTTTGGCTTTTCATCCAACTGAATCTATTCTAATAACTGCTAGTGAAGATCATACTATGAAGCTTTGGAATTTGCAAAAAACTATTGCTCCTAAAAAGTATAAACATTTTTTTTTTTTTTTTTCATAATATTGTATCTTGATCTGTAAAATATGTAATTTACAGATCAGCATCTTTAGATGTAGAGCCATTATATACATTTAGAAGCCACACTGGACCAGTATTTTGTTTAGCAATCAGTAAAAACGGTGAACACGTATACAGTGGTGGTTTGGATAATGTAATCAAAGTGTGGGCAATGCCATCAGCTAACATAGATCCCTATGATTCTTATGGTAATAAAATATTTACAGTACAGCTATTTAAGTTACAATTATATTTATCTACTAACTTTTGTGTTTAGATAAAAACATTCTGATCAATAACCTAGAAGGCCATGAAGATGCTGTGTGGGGAATTTCAGTTCATCATAATCGTTCAGAGTTATTATCATGTTCAGCTGATGGTTCAGTTAAACTCTGGTCACCAACCAATCTCAAGACACCATGTTTGTCGTCTTATGTTTCTGATCAAGGTAAACAACATTTTAAACTCAATTATAAATATAGTGTTTTCTTGCTTTTATATTATTGTCACAGTATGTTAAATGCCTTAATTTGTTGTACAGATGAAATTCCTACTTCAGTTGATTATGTTAGAGACATTGAAGGTCAATTTGTTGCATCTTATAATTCATCTCATTGTGTTATTTATGATATTGAAACCAAGAGTCCTATAACTCGATTAGAATGCTCAAAGGTTAATATTTATTAGCGTTATATTTTAATTTGTAAAATAATGTGTACATTTTATGTTATTGTAAAAGGATCCTACTGAAATGGCAACTCAGCTAATTCATCGGGTTAAATGCCACCCAACATTACCTCTAACTATTACAGCACACGATGACCATCATATTCGTTTCTTTGATAACAATACTGGCAAAATGGTTCATTCTATGGTCGCCCACTTAGATGCTGTAACTAGCTTGGCAGTTGATCCTAATGGCTTATATTTATTATCTGGAAGTAAGACTTAAATATTTAAAAATATATATAAAAAAAATACTCATCAAAATGTGTAATTGGTTGTTTTAGGTCATGACTCATCCATTAGAATATGGAATTTAGAAAGTAAAACTTGTGTACAAGAAATCACTGCACATCGAAAAAAGTTAGATGAATCTATATTAGATGTCGCGTTTCATCCATCCGAAGCATATATTGCCAGTGCTGGAGCTGACAGCCTAGTCAAAGTATTTGTATAGGTACAGTTAATGTATAATATAAATTAGTAAGACACTCAGTTAATTTTATCTTGGTGTCTTTTGTTTGACCGACTTTTGATCAAATCCATCATTGTAGTGTTGCAGTAATCATGATTTATTAAGTTGAATTATTACTTTTTCTTTTGAAATTGTTTTATTATATTCATTTTTTTTCTAAAACTAAACATTTAAAAAGTAAAATTTTTGTGCATAACTTATTAAGTTTCTGTGATTTTAATTTTTAGTAAAATTATAGTTTTTAAGGTTTCTATGTATTATCATATTTTATATGATTGAACTCCCATTATTAATAATCAATAATTATATATATATTATATATTTTTAATCCCTTTATTTTTATTATTTCCATTTATATTTTCAATGATTTTGTTAAATGTACATTTTTAGTGTTGCTGTTGAAAACACTTATTACGCTAATTTTTTTTCACAGTTCAGTTACAATTATGACCATATTCCATCCTTACCTTGTTATAAAATGGTATACATTGTTAATCAAATGTTTTGAAACTACAGAGTTATTGAACATTTTTAATTTGCAAATAGACTTAAGGGTTAGTTATATAATATTCTAGTTCTTTTTCATTATACTGTTGTTGTATATTTTGAAATTGAATATTTGAATATACACATTCAATTTTACTCTGGATAATTGGGCCCTTTAAAATCAAATGAAATTTAAAATTATAGTCAATATTGAATCTCAAAATTAGTGCCACCCTAATTTGCAGATCAAACAGGGTTCTTATGTGTGTATCAAACTGTGTATTCTTTATGTTTTATTTATTTAATACTATTATTCTTAACAAAGGAAAATTGCTTTATATCATTATGTTTTTATACTGCAATTAGATCAGTGTTGGCTCTAGTCATTTTTCTGTTATTTTCTCAGATTCAATTCAACATCATTTTTTTAAACACAAAAGGGACCTTGATTTCTAAAATTGAAATATTTCGCATTTAACTTACAACAATAAATTATCATTGTATACTTAATAATTATATATTTAAAAAAAATGTAATATTTATGATATGTAAACAATATTTATTTTAAGATCAAAAAAAAAAAGAATAATTAAGTAGTTCTGACACTCTTATAATAAAATTAAAATTTTAGAATAATTTGTTTTAAGTCTAGTCTGACAATATCATTAAACAATAAATAAATATATAGACCACATTACCACAATATTTATATTTATTATCTAAATCAAGTATAATATGTATGTGCCTGTTTCATAGTGAAACTCAAATGTGTTCCAGAGTGGTCGATATAAATGTGTTGTATATTCATGTGAGATACTTTCAATGTAAGGATGGTATTGTAGTTCTGGCTTTTTTTACACCAAAACTAAAAAAAAATTATAAATATTTTACATATTTATTGTATTGGGAAATGTTCTGCCATTTTTGTTTTTACAAATAAAATATTTTATATTTTTCTCAGTACAATAAATATACGCAAAATGAAACAGACACATTATTATTTAAATTATTTATTGAATATGATATCATAAGAGTTATAGCATTATTATACTACCCAAGTGTGTTGACCTTAAGTGATTACTGTAGACAAGTGTGTGATCAACTACACTACTATAAAAAAAAGTAGAATACTATATTATATATTTATATATATATATATATATATAAAAGATAAACATAATGTACCTATACTATAACTTGTTGTATAATATTATATACTGTTGTAAAAATATATAATTATTATCATAACTAATGTTGTATTATTGTCCCGCATTCTATTTTTTTCCGAAATGTGTAAGGTGTCGTCCCACATTCCCACCACAGTTCCTTTACAAAAAAAAAAAAAATCCTGACAGTGTTTTTTTCTACCCAATACATTTTTGTAACACTTTGTTATATATTTTAAAATTAAAAAAAACTAAGTATAAGTTTTAATAGTTTTAACAAATACATTTTGATTATTACAGTCAGTAATTAAAAATTAAGTTAAAACTTAAAATGTGCTTTTGTTTCTAACTGAATTATAAGCAAAACACTCGTTTGTAAGATATTCTTCTCATTATTACTTAATGTAATGATTTATCAAATGTTGATTTTCTTAAAGATAATAAGTCAAAATTCATATCCTTAACTTATTAAAACATTACCTAATTAAATTATATTTTATAGTTTTTACTCCATATTGCCCATAGTATATTTCACGTTAAACTAAGTTTTGTTCTCTTGTCCATTTAATAACAATAATAAAATATTTTATCAATAGCTATATATTTTGTTTTAATTAATGTCAAGTGAATTTAATTTTTGTTTCATTTCATATTATACTTATTATAATTTTACTATACTTCAGATTAATTAACATATACATACATTTTATATTTCTCAAAATAAGTAATTAAAAAGTTTCATGCGACTATCTATTGATTAAAACATTTCTTACTACATTTCTTACTAAGAGAAAATTGAGAACTCAAATCTAGTGACTCATGATTATTGGTTTCAAATTAAATAAAAACCTCAAAACACATTTGTATCTTGTCAAGTAAGGTTAGCTTATGATCTGCTCAACACAGCAGTTATTAAATTCTGTCCTTTTTTTCAAAGCGCATAGTGAATTTTAACTTACAATTTTACTCATTTTAATTAGTGATTTTACTAATTTTAAAGAAAATAAATATTTAAACATTCAGATGTTATTTAAATACATTTATTTCATAATTATGAGAACAATTTGAAATGTTAACAATAATTATAAATGACTAAAGAAATAATTCAGTCTCATATTTAAAATGTTTGCAATTATTCTCTAAACTAAGTGTACAATGTATTAATTATCAACAGGAAAATGATCAAATTAATAAAAAAATGAATATTTTTTTAATAACTTATATAATAACATATAATATAATATAATAAAAAGAAAATTTTGAATGGTGGAAACGGTTTGTAATTTATCTTTTATGGTGTTAAAATAATGAACAATATTATTAAACTCACTAATTTTAAGTTAAACAATTAAAATGTAAAATCTACTAACATAAATACAGATTTGTTTTATCCCAATTTGCTTAAGACCTAATTTTAAGAATTAAATGCACAATTCATCATCAAGTGCAGACATCCTCTTAATGGGTGATTATCAAATAATCTAAATAGATACATCAAGGAAATATATCACTAACAATGGGATATATGATTAACATATTAATTTTTACCATAATAATTATATTTATTATATACATCATTTAGGTATATAGATCACACATTTTTAACAAAACACAAACAATAATAATAATCATTACTCCTTGTCTTCAAAGTGTTTGGCAGGTGAATTATCTTCCAATCGGGCACCCATGCATGGTCCGGCTTTTGTATTGGAAGTATCAACAAAGTCATGTTGTGAATTATACCATGTTACTGATAACCTTCTATCTTGGAAGAGCTTACCCTTGATCTGTGCGGTTTCTGCGTCTTTTCTTATTTCATATTTTATTACTAATGCAGGAATTATAGTATCAGATATATATTCAATAATATTACCAAACTGTAAAAAATGTGTTACGACTTGGTCTTCATCATCTGCTTCATACCCAGACACTAATAATTGAGTTGGTCGATGGTCAACTGAGATGCTGGTAGTTTTTGTTTCGCGCACTTTATTTTTAGCTTCTAGCAATTTGTTTGCAATAGCCAATTTTTCTTTCATTTGATAAGCAGTTTTAGCAGCCCCAGATGTTGATGTAATTCCTAGACCTTTTAATTTATTTCTCAAAATAATAACATTTTTCTTCAAATCTAGTATTTCCTTTTCATCGCTATGTCCTTGTTGTTGTTTAATGAATAAATCTAAGTCAGTTAAAAGCAAGTTCTTCAATGCTTCTTGTTTGGCTTCTAATAATTTATCCTCTTTAGTAGGTGTTTTTGGTGGAAGGCTATTTATAACTTTGACATTAGATTGAGATACAATTGGTCTTTTTACTGCAGACGCTAGGTCAGCTTGAATATTTTCAATATTAGTTTTGAGTTGAATGATAGTAGACATCAACATTTGTTTTTGTTCACCTTTAACATTAGGTGCAGCTTCTATTAGTTTATTTAATTGTTCTAGCTGTTTGTCCAACAGTTCTTGTTTACGTTTGGTGATGGCAGCAGAAAAATCTTGAGCTAGTTTTTTAGCTTCTTCTTGTTTTTTAAGCAATGATGATTTGATGACTTCGGCTTCTTTTTCATTTGTTAATCTTGTTTGACCAGTAATTCTATTATCTAAAGACAGAGTTTTAGGTTTTTGTGGCGGTGAAATAATTTTTTCTTCAACTGGTTTTACTTCTGTAGAATTATCAGAAAACCAATTAGCTGTAATTGGTAAAGTACCAAAAACAGTTTCTATATTTTGATACGCTTTTTGTGCTTCATGAGAAGCAGAAAATGTAATTGTGGCTTCTTTATTTTCACTACTTGTTTGAATGTTGGTGATTTTTCCAAACTTCATAAAACTATTATTCAAGCTACTAATATTATTTAAATTTTCTGGAACATTTTTCAATTGTACTTCATTTGAGGATACTTTAGGACCTAAACGTCTATAGTCAAACTTTGGCTTTTTATTGTTATTGGAATTATTTTCATCTTTTTTAAAGTTCTTTCTTTTAAAACGATTTTGGATTTCCCCAGTAGGTACACTAACTAATTCACGTTTTTGTTTGGAAAATTTTTGTTCTCCACTTCCTCGAACCCAATAAGAACCTTCTGTACTTGGATAGTACATTCGCTGATTTTGGGCTGGCGGATAAGGTTGTACTGGTACAGGCACTGGTACATTTTGAACAATAGGTACTGGAAATGTGGGAGTCAATGGGTTTGTAAAAGATGCCCCAGCATTTTGGAAACTTAAGACACCATTTCCCGTAGCCAACACTACTGGATCTTTTCCATGATCATAAACACATAAATCACCTTTCATACAGTACCCTTTTTCATCGAAATCAACACATCGACCC